ATTTTAAATAAAATTCTGTTTTTAAACAAACCCATTTTCAGATATTCAGGTAGCATTTCCTGTTAATGGGTTTAAAAGCAACAGGTACTATCCTTCTCTAAACTTATCTTAAACATAATACCAAATATTTTTTCTTCTTCATTCTTAGTATATTGGTACTTGAAATGGGATATATTTTTTTTATGTGATATTTGTTACTAAAAGTTTGAGCACCTTGACTGTCACCACATTCAGTTAAGTGATGTCAGTTTAAGGGCCACGGTCAAAGTGACACGCTGAAAGCTGGAAAATGCTCCTGACTTTGTCCTGAGAATTCGATTTTTGTGGTAATTATGTGTGAAACTGCTAATTGTCTAGACTAAATGGTGCTGCCAAAATGGGGCTCTATGCCCTTTTAGTTGTTACAACTGTTAATTGTAGAAGACACAGACGGCACAATTTCCTAGATTAGTCTATCCCACATTATATTTCACTCTAACAGGATAAAATTTAACAGAGCTTAGTGAGGAGCAAAATTGCTTCAAGATTGTTGTACAAAAGGGGGGGAAATGCAATTCATTTTGTACTTTGTTATAGAACAGAAAGCATCTTGATTTTCACTTCATCAGGCTGACAAACTTTCAGTATTTCAACCAGTTTATTCAACTTCAAGGACTTAAGAAGGACATGTAGAAATATTGAACTGCATAATGGCCAATTCATATTCTGAAATTGACAGAAGAGAAAACAGAAAATTATATTTTTCAGTGAATATTGAAATAAACCACACTATCATTATCACTTAAAAAAAGAGAGACGTAAGCAGGGAGGCATCCTTCCATGCAGATCAGGACACCAAATACGCTTGGAAATAATAGGCACGAATGAGATTATTGTGTAAAGATTCTGCAACATGCAATCAAAGTGGGCCCTATTTTCCCCTTCATCAGCTGTCCTGCATAAGCGCTGGCAGCAAGAGGAATCCAATTTAAATTCCACTCTACAGGGAGATGGTATTGTTTCATTTTATGTGTGCTTTGACATTTCTGACTGTTAATATGGAGTAAAATCAAGAAGTATTTACATAAATATGGCATTAAACTGTATTAGAAATTAAGAGTGACACATTTTCTGCGGTGACTGTGGAATGAGGAAAATGATTGAGTTTCTGTGTCAAAAGGTTGAGAAGACAACACATGCAGGGTGAGGGCACAGGAAGAGCATTAGCCTGCTGCCTGCAAAAACCCACTGCAGCTAAAATTAATGACAACAAGAAGCAAGCAGGCAGTAGTTATCAAAAACAAACATTCTATACGTATCTTTGTTTATTTCCATGGTTCTAGAGAAGTCAATTCTAATCGCATGTAAACAGAAACAAGCCAGATCCCATTAAATATCTGTATCAGCCAGGATATTGATGTTCTTTATGGACTGAATATCGAGATCACTGATTCAGACCCCCTGGTCCTGTGTTGTTATCAGTCACAGAAGTTTGTTTTCCAGCCTCCTGTTAAGAGACAGTCTATCGGCTGAGCTCTGTAATCTACTTTGGAGATACATACAGGTAAGGAAACAAAAAAAGACGCAAAGTAGACTTTTTCTGTGTTTTGTCTAAACCTGGAGAGTGGGTGAAGTAATGGGAGGAGCTTTAAAACCAATGGCAAGCTAACTAGATAACAAAATATACTTTATGACTTCACTTTTCTGCCTCTACTTGACATGTGGAGCATGTAGTATTTAAAGGGGAATGTCATACAAACTCCGCTTTGTTGTAAAAAATATATAAATATAAAAGATATAATCGCAGATGTCTGGGGGACAGTGATTTGCCTATATGTTATGAATGCTGGCGTACCATAAAGAATAATTTATGAACAGTTCAGTTTGTGCCTTCAATTCGTTGCCCATAGGAAGATGTTACCTGGATATAACCTAACAGAATATCTTCAGAACAGCTCCAAATGACACAAAACTAATATGGGTGAGTAGAACATGATGTGATAACGTAAAATCAAGGGCCCAATGTAAAAAAAACAAACGGTGTTCCCCTTAAGCAAGATGTTAGCTCTTTATAAGAGTCCGACAAAAAAGAAGAAAATCTAGAAAATGATTAGAAAATACAATGAGAGACTGAGCTGAATCTGCAACTAATTCCACAAAGGGAGTTAATTACTAATAGAAGTTCCTAACTGTTTCTTTTAATTACCAACATCCTTAGATTTGATCCCGTTTCTCTAAAATACAAAATTAATCGTTGCCAGGTCTGCCTCTGGTCATATATAATCAGGAGCTCAGAGTAGAGTCGTTGCTCCTCCAGGACGAACGGAGCCAGCTGAGGTGGCTCGGGCATCTGTTTCGGATGCCTCCTGGTCGCCTCCCTCGGGAGGTGTTCCAGCCATGTCCCATTGGGAGGAGGCCTGGTGGAAGGCCCAGGACCAGAGCAGCTGGAGGAAGTGTGCGTCGATCGGGAAGTCTGGGCATCTTTGCTTAGACTGCTGCCTCCGCGACCCGGCCCCGGATAAGAGCAAGAAAATGGTTGGATGGATGGTTGTGATAAAGTTACCTACATACAATAGTCATCTTTTTTTATGTTTAATTTAATTTGCTTTTCTCTCAAACTAATTTAGAGTAAATCAGTTCTCTTGTTGTTTTAACTCTTTTCATATAAAATATCTCTCTCTCCCTTAGTTGAGCTTTAAAAGCCGACCAGCTGGCAATAATATGAAAGGATGTTTTAATAATTTGGATTCCTCTTATAGATCTGTTTAAGATGTTCCTGATGATTTAGGTAAAAATGTTGCTATACAGCTCTTTGTCCCTATATTTTTTTTGGGAGGGGATATGCATCAGGAAATTGACTTATGAATGGAATTAGACGGTTTTTAGGTTAATCAGTCCTTACATAGGTTTGGTCATTCAGAAGCTCAAAAGTCAAGATCTTTTTGCACATGAAATAGACTTAAGTCTAATTAGGTCATGTTGACAAAAACACTCTTGGCATAAATGCTGGTTACTGAATGTTTTAGCAATTTCAAGTGTCAGAGGAAATCTAAAAGTTTCTAGCACAGCAGGTGAGAGAGAATGTCAAAGATCCGGTGAAAAGAGAGACCCCAGCAACACTGGAAATACTGGGAAAGAACTGACCCAGATGAAGGACACAAACTGAATGAAATGGGCAATAATAAAGTTGTTTTCCAGTCCTTCAATCTTTGCTTCAGACTTCACGAAAACTATAAACATATTTGCTGCTTATTTAACCTATGAGACAGAAAGACTTCAAGCAGGAAAAGGAGGATTGACAAAGATTCCACAAAGGTTCTCCTTTTTATCATTTTGTTCCTTCCCATAAAACATACCTAAAACTGAAAGTAGGTATTGCATCCAATGTCTACATGCTATAAATATAGTGTCTAATGTGCTAGGAAATCCTATCTTGCTTAGAAAAAATGAAAATATCACTTCTAAAGGTTTGCTTTTGAAACAAAGATGATGAAATCCATTTTTTCTTTCTCACAATAAAAACATGACGTGACTTTTGCTCCCAATATGCAACACTAACTAGATCTGTTTATGTTTGCATATAAACCTAAAAACAAAGTCAGACATACTTTTGAAACCAAAAACGTACTACAGCCGATTGTGCCTGGAGATTTGCCTTAAAGACGATGACATACAGCCATTACTGACACCATTTCAAACATTCACAAAAAATTACGCTTCAATCCTAATAAGAAGGCTACAGCAGCAACTGATACGATAACAAGTAGAAGTACAACAACCCTTTAAAATATATATTTTCAGGTTCAATGCTAAGTAACTGTGCAATAAAAGTCCAGAGCTAAGAGTCCTGCAAAAAGCTACTCAAACATACTTTGTGCTTAGTGCTTCATTTCTCATAAATATCCTCTCTTCCTATGATCAATGTCTTCATGCAAATCAAGACTTCTTGCTTAGACCTACAGTGGAAAGAGATTTACTAAAATAAAAATCTGCATTAAAGGGTCATACATATTTCATGGATGTAAAGTGCAGTAAAAGCAAACCATTTTGGATGGTGGAGCTTCACAAATATCACAACAAAGCTGAAAAAAGGAAGAACATGAGTTGCAGCATGACATCATCTGACCGTGCTTTGGGAAAACAACAGCAGATTGGGAACTGTCTGTCAATAATGAGACTAAAAGATGAAGAAATGTAAAAAGATATTAACAATCATTACAGTCATATGAGAGGTGTCTAGTAGCAGCAGGCGAACATGGATTTGGTCTCAGGTTACCTTCCCAAGTCACAGAGCTCTTAGGATCACTCCTTGCTGTTTGGCTACTAATGCTGCAGGCAGAGTCCCTCAGCACTGTACTGACAACGTCCCTTAAGTACTGAACTATTTCACTACCAGTTACAATAAAAACATGCATTACAAAGAGTTAATCTGTCGCAAAGGCACACACACTCCTTATCTGTATCATCACTTCTCAACCACAGATCCACAATTCAGCCTCTGCCTTATATTGAGCTGACTTTAATGAGTTCAGTGTAATAAACTTTTTGCTTTTTCAATGCACAAACCACTTTCTACAATGCAAAATATCAGAATAAATCACAAAAGAAAAAAAAAATTATATGGCAGGGAATATTTCAACGATCCGGAACCCTTACTGTGCAGTCGCTCAAATTTACAATAACCATTAAATTAAGTAAAAGGGTTAAAATGCTAGGAGGCAATATTGATAATTCCATTGAAAACTCAGGGGGAGTATGTCAATATTAATTTTCCTGAACCCAAAGGAGCATCCTGACTGGTGTGTCATTTATTCACAGGCCCTGAATCTAGCTCTATGAAGCTAAATCGACCCATTTTAGGACTAACACCACCCCCCCTTCCTTTGGCTATAGCCACAATCTCCGACCTTTGTGCACCACAAGAGAGTAATAAAATAAAAGAGAAATCTGCAAAGAAACAATAGAATTTATTTCTTTTTTTGTGAACTGGATTTAGCACACACAAAAGAGGCGTCTCTGACCTTTTTTCTTCAAGAAGGCTTTTCTGGTGGCCAGGGGGCTCTCGCATACTTTCGGGTTCTGTAGAAATTTTACAGCAGTTGCAACCTGGAAAAACACAAATCGGATTTATTTCCTCATAATCACATAATGTGAGTTACTCTGAAGGAAACTGATGCTGTTAACAGTCCAAACAAGTGTCTAGACCTTCCTTAAGAAAAAGGTTCATTATAAATCCACTGCAGCTAAAAAGAAGGGAGAAAAAAAACTTAAATGGATTCCATCTGATAGTTGAATTTACACCCACCCCCCTTCGCTCACAGCCAGCAGTTAGGAAAAAGACCACCTGACCACTTTCCTGCTAAATGTTGGGAATGACCAAATCAGCAGTTATAAAATTAGCCCATCAGGAGTGCCGGACAAATGGAGTATGGAGCTTAATTTGCTATTACCCTCTTAAAGACAAACTTCCATTCTTAAGTGCGCAGTGGAAGAAAATCTATACTTAATGCAGAGGTGATCATTTGTATCTAATAACTTGAGAATCTGAGGCAGAAAACTTCTGTAATTCTTCCAGTTAAAAACCTGCCGTGATCAAATCACCTCGCCTGACTGTTGTAATGACTTGAAACGTTAATGCACCAGAACGTTAAATAGCATCAGAACATCAGTAGTTTTAAGTGCACCGCGTTCATCGATTCTATTATGTTTTCCTTCGAGATGCGCCTTAATTTTCCACCCAGTATGCATTTCCAAGAATGGGAGGTAGGAGGGGAGGGTATCTTCCTCAAATGGTATTAAAACATAAATTTGAAGTGGGCGCCATGAAGTGGCGCCTCCTAAAATGGATAAATATGTAGGGAACACATAGAACGGAGAAACACACTGGAGGGAAGGTTTCGATGACTTATTATCGCACCTGTGGTCCCCATGATTCAATTGTAAAAGTCATCCCTCTAATAGCTTGAAAGGTTTTGATTACTCTTCTTTTCTCTTAGTGTTGAAAGATACAAAGTGATTGAGCGCCCTGCCAGTGGTAATTCATTTTGGGTAATGCATTGCATATACTATGAACCTGTTTCAATCCAAAAGAATTGTGGGTTAAAGTTGTTTGTGGGGCAGAAGTGGCAGAGAAGCTGTTTAAGAAAAAACTAGTGTTCTGTGACAAAGGCAGAGTGCAATGATAGGAAGGAACAGGAATGCTTTTTGAAAGTGTGACTTTCCTCCTATAAAACTATAGAAATGGACTTAAAAAGGAACACATTTGATTTTGGTTATGTGATCATTTTTATAAAAGGTAAAAGAATCACCCCCTGAGATAGTAGCCCAATTATCTGACACAAATGTAGTATTTCATAGAATCTCTACAGCACTCCTGATGCACATAGTGGTTATGCAATAGTTATGGGATCTCCTGGATGTCTATATGCTGCAAATTCTTCTTTTTTTATTTTTTTTTTTTTTAATAAACCACCTGGAATATTTATTGTTACAACAAGATTAAGTTATTTGCATGGTAAACCCCAAATTTTTGCAGTGAACCAGAAAAAGTCAAAACGCCAAGAATTTCCATCAGATGAGACTTAAAAAAAAAAAAAAAAAAAAAAAAAAAAAAAAAACTCCAGCAATTGGCAAAGCTATCACTGTCAATTAACAGGACCCCGCAAAGGTAATCATCCATCCTGATTTTTTTTAAACATTCCATTTTTGATGCATTTCATTGATCACTCATGTGATACATCATCTCAATGAATTGTGTTGTGTAGCAGAAAAAAAAAATTGCATAAATGATTTTCAATTGTTTTATGAATCCATGGCTGAATTCGAATTCGTGGGATGCAAGTTAGGCAGCCTGCAAATGTGGCCTTCTTTTTGCCCGATTTAAAAATATTAATAATTGAACTTCATCTCACATTGGAGAAATTTACCTATGCATTTAACCCATCCCCTTGGGGCGAGCGGCTGCCATCATGGGACGCCCGGGGGGCAATCGGGGGTTAAGGGTCTTTGCTCAGAGACCCAGAGTGGCAGTCTGTGGGAGTGGGGCTTGAACTCAGAACCTCAGGATTCCAAGCTCTATGCCCTAACCACTTGGCTGCCACTCCTCAAGGAGTCTAGACATATCCGCACAGGTCCCGTGTATCCTATGTAGCCTTGGTTATCCCAGGATTCATTGTGAGACCAAGCAAGCAGGCTGCTTGGTGATCAAAGTAAAAGGGTACTGGGTGCCGAACAGTGGTGAATATTGGAAGTTTAATTTTATATTATACAAGTATGTGAATAGTTCTGTCTGAAGTGCATGAAAATAGTTGTTTTAATGGTTATTGAGTCAGATATGTAGTGGGTATTGTTTGATTTATCTTAAGGTTTTTATGTTTTACTGTGTAAATGGGTTTGTCTGTAATCTAATGACAGATTGTATTATATGTGCAGTGTGGGGACTATAAATGTCATATGATCAAGTTGCTTAACTAAGTATTGTTTGTTGTTGACTATAAGAGATTTTGCAGATATATTTTTATATATACATTGTTTAGATTCACTTATATCTTTCTACCGTTTTATAGAACAGAATAGAATAGAAAAGAATAGAAAATCCCTTTGTTGTCCCACAATGGGGAAATACTGGTGTTTACAGCAGCAAAAAGATTACAGAAAAAATGGTCACACAAATGTGGACCTTAGAAAAATGTATAAGAATACATAATAGTGAAGAGTTAAAAGATAAACAATAAAAGACTGTAAATTGTTTTAACAATATAAAAAACTGTGCACCTGAAGAAGAAATAACCAATATACAGCTAGGGAAATGTTTACAGTAATGGATATTTGAAAATAGCAATATCAGAGATGTGCAAAATGACAGCAGCATGGTATTTAATTGACTAAGGTTTATATCATTACATTGGCTTGTATTTGTTCATGCTCCGAGTGGTCGTCAACTTTATTCCACTCTGTATTCTCATGAATGCAGTCTTTGTTCACTTTACGATTAAAAAAAGGAGAAAAGAAACAGTTTTGAAAAGTTCAGCATTCATTCTTTTCCTGCTTTGTGTGTCAATTGTCACGGTTGCTATGCGACAGAGCATACTGCTGTGAAGCCCATGGAAGGCTAGACCTGTTTAAATTCACAGCCAAAACTCTTCCGCTCTCCTTATTTTCATGGACTTTGAAGGATCCAGTCCAGGTACACCGCGTCCTTGACGCAGACCATGAATTTGAATTTAGCCCATGTATTTGTTTTCATTTATCAAGAAGACCTTTTGCTGCGATTAGAGCTACATGTCTCAGCATACACCTCGAACAGCTCTACGTATGTACAATCTTGACCCGTTCTTCTAAGCAAAACAACTAAAGCTCAGTAAGATTGAATTGTGAGCATCTGGGAAAAGCAAATTGCATTTTATTTTCTATGGCTCTACCTACCCATCATCCCTCTCCCTGTTGAAGAGAAGCATGTCCATGGCGCACTGCTGCAACCACCGTGCTTTAGTGTTTAATAAAGTTTGCAGCCAAGCTGAAAACCCAAATGATTTAGTCCAGTGCCGCAACTGGCCATTGTTTGCTGTATATTCTACTTATTTATATATTTTTACTCCAATTAAAGCAGGCTGATTAGTCAGTTTGATGTTTTAATCACATCTTTTGTTTAAGAAGATTTCATTTTTGAAAAATCTGGATTTTTTAAAAACAATCTAATTATTTGCTTGTGCATAGCTCAGAGTGACATCAGTTCATAAATTTTTTGTTCTTACTTAGAACTGATAACTAACTCACTGTATGATACCAATAGCTGCTAATATTTAGTATTTTATAGTTTGATGTTTGTTGTGAAACATTATTTTACCAGCATGTTTCACAGTTTAAATTCAGTTGCCCTTTAGATTAAGCCCATCTCACAGATTGGATGATTGAAATCAGAGCTATTTTAGAAAGTAATATATGACATTTCTCTTTTTTCTTATGAAACTTAAGTAAGAAAAACGTTGATTAATCAGATTTGGTAGTAAAAAAAAAAATCTAAAATTATATATGCAAGCCATGACTCTGAGTCCTAATTCCAGCAAACAGGCGATAATAAGAGGTAATGACCCATCAGAGAAAGAATACGCTGAATGAGCAGTCCTTGTTTACACTGGCCTAAAGTTTCAGTTGTCCAATTATTGACAAGAAAATTGTATCAATGTTAACAGGCATAAGTATGATACCTCAGAAAGGACCGCAGCTTGCTCAGCGGCAGACTAATGAGGCAAATGTCCATTTGGTTAAAACTGTAGTGGTGGATCTTCAGGGAGAGGAAAAGTGCACTTCTTAGCAGATGACATAGATGCTTTGCACAAGTTCCATCCAGACATCTCAATCAATTATAACCACATTGCACTGATTTCACTCTTGTTGACTCATGGATCACCTCAGTTATAGTGTTGGGTAGCACACCACTGGGCTTTTAGGGGCCCTATGATGGATAACAGTACATGATCCATTTGAGTTCCCAATATAAATAAAGGAAAAAAAACTAATGAATTTTCATTTTTTTTAAAAGACAACTAGTAAATCTTAGTTTGAATAAAAACTGAAAAAAACTTTGTAAAGCTTTGACTACTAATGCACCCCAGTGCTCGATGTAAAGTGCAATAATCTTTGCAAACCAAATAACCAATAAAGTGTCAGGTAAAGCTGAAAAAGAGCTGAAAACTCAATCACAGGAAGAGATGACATTAACCAATACACTTATGAGAGTGAACTTGATGAACAGACAAGATTACAGAAATGTTATTGAGTTTGAATTGGACCAGACTTTGCACTGCACTTGTGTGAAAATTACAACAGTGATACCTCGAACTGTGAGAAATGAGGTTGGAATCCAATTAAGTTCGAACTGCAGGGATGGACGCCTGAGGAAATCTGTGTAACCAGTTGTATATTTTTGCCCTAACTAGTAACAGCACTTAACTATAACATACCACAAGGCCTATGGTTGTTCTAGAGGAGGTGTACATTAAGTACCAGGTAGAAAACCTAAAATTGTGGAATAGGTGATTTATGTCCTGTGACAAAAAAAAACACATTTAATTAAGTTTCATGTGAGAAAATTGAAACAGTTGGTT